CGCACACCTAAAAATGAGACTCTGATTACTGAGGCAACCGTGGAAACCTCTTAAAGGACAGACCGTTCGTCAAGTTGGACGTTGAGTTTGAATCTAGGTCTGTTCTCCACTTATCTGGGTCTACAGGCTCACTTTCCGGATCAGGAGGTATTTCTCTGCTAGAGTGAAGCCACTGATTCATCAGCATAATGGGACGTATGCACGCGATACGAAGGCTTTGTTGGGGGTCCTCGAGGACCGCGTCCATGGCGGGAACGCAGCGCTGAGCTAGATCTGTCAAAGGATTGACTCTGTGTAGAGCAGCTTCTGGTGTTCAAGGAGGTGTGTGTGTATTTTCATACGTTGTCCAGATGATGGCTGAAGACCAGGCTGCCAATAAGTGTACCATAGAGATGGGCACAAACCAGTTTGTTCCAGTTTGAACTGGGACAAACTGGTTCATGCCCATCTCTAGTGTAACCATCCTGCATCAGCTTTGTGGCCCCCTCCCTCACGGGTAGCCAAACAGGCACAGAGGGCATAGCCCATATGGTATATACGGTCCTCATTATTATTTTACCGGCTCTTGAACTCGGTGTTCTTGGCTGAACCCCCAACACCCGTGACTTCATGCCGTCCTGTCCTGCCACGCGATTTCCTAGACCTTGGCCCAGCAAGAGAGGAAAACTTTCTCTCCATCAGAGCTCTGGAAAAATAACATGTGTAAAACCGTAACTATCATTTGTTAGAATTTTTCAGCCGTGAATTCAAAAGCCAAACACCACCAGCAGGATTAAATTATTTCCAGCAACGGTAAACACTTTGTCTTCAGTTTTTTTATGGGAGTGTGTGTGGCAATTTTGGATGGAAAGCCTGGCCGTTTCCCAGCCATTTTTTAAAGGATTTTGCTTAATTTCCTGGTTTAACGGTTAGCTTTGTTATTAGTGGCTAAACTGAACAAATTTAGTAATTTCGCTTAATGTTTTAAGGTTAGCTAATTAATTTGCTTTAAGGATTTCGCATTAGTGCATTAGTACTAATGCAGGCCTCTGCAAATGGATGTGAATCAGCCTGTCTTGCTTACGTTCTCCCATGAATAATTTGACTTTGACAATTTGATATCCTTGAAACCACGTCTGATTTCATATACCTCATTAAGCTTTTATTGGAGTCATTAGTTGGCGTCCGTCTATGGAGAGACCAGCCCTTCTGTCTTTTCTCCCTCTCTTGTTTATCTAACTCCCTTTGACATATATTTGATTAGACATCCTTTGTTTTATTCTCTTTTTTTTCCTGGTTCAATTATTTCTTGCATGAAATTGTTTTCGAGACGTGATGGTGGTGAGCTTTCGAAAGTTTTGTTTTGGCCTGTGCGGTTAGAAATCACTAGTAATTCGAGCCCAGAGAACGGCAATAGCAAACCACAAAACAACTTCTCAGGAATAGTAAAATCTTTTAAATTGCAATCTTTTATTCTTAAAAAATTTCTACTTGACAATGGTGTGATAAAGCAGGGGATTTCCCAGGTAAGAGTCTTCATTCAGCATGTGATTTTTATTTTATTTCCTAGACTACAAATCCCATAATTTTCCATTCTGGGTGTTCTACCTAATAGACAGACTATTACAGAAACCTAAATGTAGCTCTCCTGGAATAGAGGCCTGAACGAAAAGGCTTTGAGATTTAGCTAGGCCTAGCTCTGCCAAGACTTCCTGTTCCTGCCCCAGTGCTAGCTGGGAGCTTTCTTTCCGAATGGGAAGCTTGGGCAGAACTAGGCCTAGGCAAGTCTCAAGGAGTACTGCAAGGAGGATTCAGAGGCCAGTGAATCATCCCATTTTAGAGAGGACTCTTAGCCGCTATGGAACTCATGTCTAAGCTTGCAGACATGACCTTCCTGTCAAGCCCGTCCTTTGGAAGAGATTCCCATGAAACATCTCCTGTGTGCATCAGCCCCAAGAAAGCAGTCGAGGGCCCTCAAGCTAGCCTCCAACATAGGGGAGAAAGCTCTAGGCTTCCTTGCTTCCTGAAAGTATCCATCATCCCCAAGTCTCTTGCTAGGACAACAGCTCTCTCCTTCTCTCCCTGAGAGAATGCACCAAGCAAGGGCCACCTCGAGTCCGCTGTCCAAGGTGCTGAAAGCGGCCAGACTGGAAGGACCCTGTTTTCTTGAACCCAACCATTCTTTCCTGCAGGAGGATGGGAATCGTGTGGACCGTCAAGGCTGTTTCAGGGGGGGACCAGGTCCCCATCTCCCTTCCCTGAAATAAAAAAAGAGAGAGAAAGATTGCCTTGAAGCCTTCGAGAACAGCAATGTCCTTTGGTCAGACTTGCAAGACTCCCCAGCCTTTCCAAAGTTACTTAAAAAACAAACAAACTGTTCGTTCGGGGCACAAATATCCCTGCCTCCCCCACTAAAAAATGGTAATCCACTTGGTGACTCCCTGCCCAGCTGATTCTGGTGTTTAAATGGATTTCGCCAGAATCCTGTGCTTCACCGTTGCATCGCTTAGACCAAACGCTTTGGCTTAGCCTACTGCACTAGAAGCAACCTGGCTGGATCCTGTCTGCCTTGGCCACAGAATATCTCTTGTAGATCTTAAATAATAGCGCTTAGAATCTCCCAGCCAACATGACCATTCCCTAGCAGAGTTATGTATTTATTTATTTAAAATATTTATATGCTGCTTTTCTCTCAACCTGCTGGCTTAGGCTGTGACAGGCCAACTGAAATGTTTAGATCCAGGACACTTAGGGTTTGAGACCACCGGCCACCTACTAGGCTGGGGAGGGTGTTCCTGGAGTAGGTGGAGATTCTTTGCATATACCCCCCCTGCCCCGCTGTATATTTCTTGAAACAGCTAATTAAATTGTCCTACCTCTCTACTAGCAAGAGTGCTCAAAGCAGGCCCAGAAACGTAAGAACAACATCTTGATTGAAGCAGACGCTTGAAGCCGATCAATTAAAAGCACAGTGAAAATCTAATAAGAGAGACCCAGTTCCAAACCAGTTAGGTCCCTGTCAATGACAGACCAGCTCTGAAGCCTGAATAAAAAAAGTGTCTTTGCCTCTTGGCAGAAGGACAAGCAGGAAGAAGCCAATTCCACCTCCTCCCGTCACGTCTGGAAGTTTGCAGGTCCATCTCCATTGGCGCCTCTTTCCTCCTCCTTCTCCAGTCTTGGTCACGAAACAATGTTTTATGTCTCATTAGTGCCAGCGCACTCCGAGCCAACATCGTTGTCGTCGTAACCTTCCAGTTTTGGGGCCCCGGTTCCTGACCGGCGCTTAATTTTTTCCCCATGACCATTCTGCACTCATGTAAATCAATGCGCCTTTGGAATGAATCTGTTTTCCTCCCTTTCTTCGGTGCCAGCACTTAATTGCCGATTTGGCAGCGGCCGAGGAAGCAAATGTTACTCGCGCCGCTTGCTTCGGTGTCACCTCGAGTGATTCAGAACAGAGAGGGCCATGCAGGTCCCCAGTTACTTGAGGAGAAAGGCAGACAATCTTGTGCAGGGCCAGCAAACATCATTCCAGCTTTGGTTTGCTTTCATTACCTCCCACCCCTCCCCATTCCCACGCATAGCCTGCTTCCCTTCCCGTGAGATCATTGGTTCCTTCAGTCATGCCGTGGTTTTCCTCCTCTCCATTCTGTCCTCACAACAACCCTTTGGGGTGGGCCAGGTTGAGCAGATATCTGGCCCAAGATCGTCCAGTGAGTTTCAGGGCCATGTGCACGCAGATCTTCACTGAGCCCCACTCTGATGCTTTATCCTCTGTGTCACACTGGTTTATTTTTTTGTTAAAGGAAGACAGTTTATTTGAGACCGGGAACCCACAGGATGTGATCAGTGTGTGGATTGGGCCCAAAAAAGATAGCCAGCTGAACAAAATCAAAAAGGTGGAAATACTCAAAAGGCTTAAGACAGGTGTCACTCAAATTGACTTGGTGGTTGCTATGGGGAAGGAGGTTCCTCTTTCTTGGCTTGTTATATGAGACCCTAGTAACTGGAGGTCTCTTTTTCTTGAGAGTGTTCGATTTGAAATGTGCTTTTCTTTTTGATTGATTGATTTGTTTGGATCTTGAGCAGCTTGTTAGTTGAACTTTGTGTGACCTGTTCAGTCAGATGCTGCTTAACGTAGCTAGTGTTATTGATACTGGACATTGCTAGGTAAATTACGGGTAGGTGTCTTGCTAATTTAAATTTGTGATAAGTTTTAAGTGAACTTCAGTTGGCTTAAGGCTGCGTTGTTGGTACCACGAAGGCCCCCTGTGATCACAGTTTCTTGCAAAAATCTGTTTATTGATATGCTGGGGATATGCAAGACTTGAGTCTCAAGTCATTGTCAAGTCCGACTTTAGGTCACACCAGTGACTCAACAAAAGTCTTTTAAAAATAGACTCAGATTCAACTTGCAACTCAGAACCATTTTTTTCCCCAAGTCACGTTTCCAGTCCCTATTAGGGATTATGGGTCTGCCTAACTGCTCCAGAGGCTGGCACCATTGTTAAGAGGCATCAGATCCCCTTCCAGCAGCCGGCTCCTGCTTCCGCTCACGCCCCTGGCACCCAGCTCGTAGGCTGATGCATGCGCAGAGCTGGGAGCCGTCTCTGGGAAGGGAAGTCAGCCTGCTATCTCTGTTCATGTGCTGGGTAGCGCATACGCAGTCCAAGGCTTTGGGTTCAAGTCTTGACTCCCAAACCTCAAGTCCAAGTCTCGAGTCGCTTGCTCTGCACTGGGGGGGGGGCAGATGACTTGAGACTCAGTTTTGAGGTTTAGGGCTCAGGACTTGGAAGTGAAGACTTGCCAACATCTCTGGTATATAAATAAATAGATGCTCTCGCTCTCTTGAGGCCAGGAGGGTTATGGGATTCGAAGGAGAAGAACAAGGCAGAACAGCTGTCGTTAAGCGACATCCAAAGATTTCTATCTTTAAAAAAAGAGTACAAGCGAATCGCTTGTTTTAGAAGGAAGTGCCAAAACTGACGGTTCCGACATGACTTTTTCCTCTTGCTTTGCAGCTCATTTCCAGCGATGCCGATGGAGCGATCCAAAGAGCTGGCCGGTTCCGAGTGGAAAACGGCTCGGTGGATGAGGTAGGACGAGGAAGGCTCCGTCCGAAACCTTTTTTTTCCTTCCCTCGCCCAAGTTCCCAGTGGCCTTGATCTCCACTGGAGCAAAAGGCATTAAAAGAGCCCTTTGTCTCTTAGTTCCTGAAAAAGCCCTTTGCTTTTATCTCCTCGGGGAAGAAGGAGATAGTTATAAAAGGGAGAGAGGAGATCTTTGGGCTCAGAGGCCGTGCTGTGATTCATATTGGCCATCCTTGTGGAAGAGCAGGCCATGAGTTTAGGACTGCCAGGGGTCATTGCCCGTTCTGCCGTACAATGTTATGCACTCCCTTTTCTCCCGACCTGATGTGGGTTTCATGCAGATTCACCCCTTCCGTGTCTGTCTTCTTCCTGGGGGTTCCTTGTCTTCCTACTTTCTTCTTCCCATTTCAGAATGCGGATTACGCCCCCGGGACGTGGCACCGAACGGACGTCCATTTGGAGAATCCCGAATACCACACCAGATGGTACTTTAAGTATTTCCTCGGAAAAGGTCAGTGGCTGCTTTGGCTGGGTCTACGCACGCCTCTTCTCTTTGCATGTCCAGAAATGGTGGTAGACGACCATTAAATGGGATGCTGTTGGTGTTATTGATGTTGCAGGATGAATGCAAGTGTGAGCATTAATGTTGGGGGCCCTGTCGGTGACAGGGCTGTAAGACGGGGTCTGTGGGTGGTGGTATGTCTTCTAACCAATACTGGTTTTCCTTCCCAGTTCACCAAAACTATGTAGGAACAGATGCAGAAAAGAACCCCTTCTTTCTGTCTGTCGTGCTCTCTGACCAGAATAATCAGCGTGTTCCTCAATATCGATCAATCCTCTGGAGAAAAACAGTAAGGGACAAAAATTTTGCCTTCTCTCTTTTCTCTGATTGTTTTTTAAAAGTTCACATTTTGATATTTCATGGCGGACGGTGGAAGGCGCCAAGCTAAAAAGCCCAAGAGAGAAAAACAGCCAGCACTTCCATTGTGTGTCTTGTACTATGTAATCTTTCTGTAAAAGTGGTTCAGTTGCAGCCATAAACCATGGCATGTGGAGCTAAACTATGGATTGTTGTGATAGCTGAGTCAATATCACGTGACAAACCGTGATTAACTTAGTTTCTGTACTACAGTTTAGACCTGTGGGTTTCCCACCTTGGGTCACCCAGATGTTCTTGGATTGCGACTCCCAGAAACCCCGCCCAGCACAGCTGGCAGCGAAGGCTTCTGGGAATTGGAGTCCAAGAACACCTGGATGATCAAAGGTTGGGAACCACTGATTGAGACCAAGCGTAATACAGCATTGCCTCTAAACTGCCACACCATGGTTTAGGATTTTGTTCTAGTCTTGCTATTTTTGAGAACACAGGGACTTTCAGAGATAGTAGAGTGAAATCACACATACCCAAGTTTATCCAAACATCTGAAGTGTGTGTCAATATTCAGAATCCAGGCTAGAATCAGCACAAGTTTATTAAATAATGTCCTATATATATACATTTGTGTTTTTGTTAGAATTCAGAACAAGTTGTAAAACTGTCTAATGCATTATGACAACTCTCTTAACTTAATTCTCTTGCAGGGTACTCAGAAAATATGCCTCCCTTACAGTCCTACGAAAACTTTATCTGTGAAATCTATCTTAAGGTATGGAATATTCATATTTTTCATCGTGTTCTTTAAGACTAACTCTGCTGAGCTAAGTCTATACCCGGTCAGGATGATGATGATAAGAAGAAGAAGTTATGTCGATGATGATGATAAGAAGAAGAAGAAGAAGTTATGTTGGGATTTTTAGGAGAAATAAGCCAAACAATTATATAATAAATAATGCTTCATTTTTCTATAAAGTTTTTAGCAGTTCTGATCTGTTGCTGTCTTTTTGTGAATTCATACCCTCCCCTTTCAGTGAAAAATATACATAGGACAGTTCACAAAAACCATACTAGAAACAGTAGTATCAAAAGTTTATTTTTTCAAAAAAATCAGTGTGCCTCCCTATGTATAAAGTATAGTTTACTGTGACGAGGATAAGCCACAATAAGCTTGGGACATTTCTCATGATAAAATGAAATGTAGTCTCATTATCTTTCCTTTCTGTTAGGAGATGAAAGCTTTTGCCGTGTCATCCAAACCAGGAAAACCTGCTTAAGATTTAAGTCTTACTTCAAGCTGGCTTGTTTTGAAACCAAGTGTAGTTAACTTTAACCACAGTTGGGACAACAAGCTAAGTGGTGGTTAAGCAAGAACGGTAGCAAAACCATGCAGAGGAGGAGGAAATAAACAGCATCAGAATCCAAGGGCTTCTGAAGCTTGTCCCCATCACACTAAATGGTGGTTTAGCATAATGATTCTGTGGTTTATCGTGCTGTCGCTGTAAAGCAATGGTTGAAACAATTCCATATCTATGTTCGTCGTTAAAAAAATGCACCAGTGAATAGAATTCCTATGAAGAATTAGCCGTGAGATTCCAGTTTGGGTTGTTTTTTCAGTGCCATGAACCTTGACAAATTTGAGAAAGGCCCAAGAGAAATTCTTCACCCCGAAATTCAAAAGGTAAGCTGCCGAAAGCCAACATGGCAGATCGGATTGTAGAGCTGTTGGACATTCGATGGTATGGGAAGTTTAAAAAGGTTGCGGGCACTCAGCTCGGCGTGGCCTGGAGGGACACGGTCACATTCTGCAAATCCCCGGGGAGCTGGCACAAAATAGAGGGCATAGATGTTTTCTCTGCTGCCCCAGAGGGCAGAACAGGATCTAATGGACTTCTGTCGTAGAAACTCTAATGGGCGTATCTTGCAGGATTGCATTTGAACACTAGGAGACATTTCTTGACCTCAAGGGCAGCAGGATGATAGAATTAGTTGCCTACGACAGCTTTGGGGAATTTTCCATCCTCTGAATGTTGATGAGCTACTCCTGTCGCCATCAGACCTTCCTATGGGCCAGGCTGGCTGGGGCTGATGGGACCTGGAGTTCCGAAACAAAGTTTGAAGGTTTTCATCAAAGGCGTTGAAGAAGAGGCTTCATAGTCATTTGCCAGGGATATCTTAGCTCTCGCATTTCCCTTCCAAAACTGCATTAATTCATTTGATGGTAGATGACCCTTCCCATTAATTAATACATAGTCTGTAGACACTCCCCAAATATCTCTAAAGGTATTTTTGTTTGCCAACCCCCTTTTAATATCCCAAGTCAGTTTATCATTAATAGCAACATTCCGTACTTCTTTATACAGTTGTTGTTTAGTCGTTAAGTTATGTCCAACCCTTTATACTGTACCATTCATTTAATTGAAATGCGTGTGAGCATTTAAATTTGGAGAGTAATGGCTGGACCTGATACTGGAGATGCCACAGTGATTTAACAGCTGCAGTTCTTTCAACAGATCTGTTTTATTTGGGACTAACAATTGGACTTAGCCTTCAGTTTCCTTCCTGTATTAACAGAATGACTTACGTAGAACAGGTTGTACATGGTCTTCAAACGTGCAGAACCTGCTTCTGTCTTTTGCTACAACTCTAAAATCCATGCAGTTCCATGGATTAACATACAACATACATTCGTGAGAGAGCGTTTGCTGCTCTTTATACACCTGATCTCCCCTTTCAAGTGTTGGTATGGCCATCCACAAGAGTGTTCCTGTGGGAGGATCCCCTAGAGAGCTACAGAACAAATGCTTTTGGTTGCTGATGCACTTGGCCAACGATCAAATAACAGCTAGGATCATTAGCTTCCAAAAGAGTTTTCGAGCTAAATATTTGTCTCTTTCTTTCTCCTGCCAGGATTTATTGGTTCTTGAAGAGCAAGAGGTAATGTGCAGAGCAATCTTCTCGTTTTCCAAAAAGCCTGTCTAACAAAATAATTGTTTTGATTTGCAAAGATGTCTTCTTAGATTTCGTAGGCTCGTTCTTTTTATATCCCATCTTTCTCCCAGTATTGAGGCTAAGGGGCAGCTCACAACATGATGCAATTAAATATGTCATAGTGTTAAAATATATCTCTGTGGATGTCCCATGGATAGAGTGTCAGACCTATGACACAGGAGAGCCGGGTTCAAATGCTTGTTCGGCCATGGAAACTCACTAGGGGAGTGGCAGGAAAAAAAGTATGCTGCTTATATACCACCCCATAATGCTTAAAGCACTCTGTGGGCAGTTTATAATTTAATTATACAGTCTACACATTGCCCCCTCCCTGGCAGGTTGGGTTCCCCAGAAGGATAAAAGGGAGAATTAACCTTGAGCCGGTTGTCAGAATCCGCTGGGATCGAATGCTCACTGTGAGAGGTGGTTAGAGTGTAATACTACACTCTAACCACTGCACCACAAGATGTCAACCACTCCTTCAAAATCTCACAGACCTTGAAACCCTTGTTAAGTTCACCAAAAGTTACAAGAGTTTTGACGCCACATAACAACAACACGTGGCTTGTCGTACTCAAAACAACAACCAATCCCAATTCAGATTTTAAAACTCCCCAGTGAGGATGAAGGAGGGAACAAGCAGAGCATAGCAGCCCCGAATTGGCTCATGATGCTTTGGTGGGATGTTTCTGAGGTGGACGCAAGCCCTCCGCTGCGTCGTTGGCACACGAGTGCCCATCGCAGTGGGGAACTATGGAACTGGTTCCCAGTAATGCCACTGTGCAGATGTGCAAGGGGCCCCGTCTTCCCTCTTCAGAGTGACATACTTGTTGAGGTCTCCTTTCCTCTAAAAGATGCCTTCGAAGGATGCTGCTGAAGACTCTTTGCCTACGTCCATGACTTCTCTGCTACGGGGCCATAAGAATGCTTACCCCATCAAGTCACTGCCTTCTGAGTATCTCCTGTCCCTTCTAGCAATAGGTTAGGTTTGGAAAGGGGTGGACGTATTGAACTATTTGTACACCTTCAGATAGCAAGAAGGACCAAGCATGAGGTGTCATTTTCAGCAACTACAGTTTTGGCCAGGGAAAAAAGGCAGTCTCGGGCAACCTGTTCTGGTTCTGCTACCTATCTGGAGCCCTTCTGTCTGCTCTTACGGTGATTAATCTCATGATAATCCAGAGCTCAAGTTGGTAGGTAGGCAGACCCATGGGGTGAGAGATGGACGGAGAAAGCTTTCCAAAGGGAGGTAACATCTTCGGGTAGGCAGACCCATGGGGTGAGAGATGGATGGAGAAAGCTTTGGCCTTGATTAAATTCTCTAGCCTCCCCCCATATATCTTTTCAATGGGACTGTGGACCCTTCCGAAATTCAGGGATCCATCCGTCTTGTTTAAGACCGCCGTGGGCTCACTCTCACTCTCTGGGTGAGAACGTAAATCAGAATGAGGCTGCTGTGGAGGAGGCTGGAATTACTCCCGGGAGCCATCCGTGTCTCTGAAACAGAGTAGGAAGTCCAACTCCAAGCACTGGTAGCCATAATTGGGCTCCTGCCGTCTCCTGGAACAATAATACCAACAGGTCTTTATAGGCACGACATGATGTCTGGAACGGGTGATGTTCCTGTGGGTGGTGAAGGGATCTGTGTATTTTTAGATCTCTAGCTTTAGAAGGGAACGACGGATAGCCGTATCTGCTCCATGCCAAACAGTGGTGGCCCAAGAGGGCGGCGGGGTGGTGACCCTGGATGACACGGATAGCCGTATCTGCTCCATGCCAAACGGTGGTGGCCCTGGATGATCTGGGTTCAAGTCTCCACTCAGAGGTGGACATCCCTGGATGACCAGGAGCCCCAAACAGCTTCACCTAGCTGGTAGCATTTTAGTTGTGAGGGGAAGTAGGAAGAAGCGGAACGGTGAGCTCGTGGGAGGAAAAGCAAGACAAAAATGTAAATTAAAATTAAAAATATATATGGCTGCACAGCACCACCACCACCCCCAACCCCTTTTTAATTCTGTATGGCGATCTCAGGATACGAAATACGCTAGGAAATGTAATATCCTGCCACTCAGTTGTTCAGATTTTAGTAGACATGGTCCTGTATCAATGAGTTAGAAAGCAGGAGGAGATTAAAGCTTATTTATTTATTTATTTATTTGATTTATATCCCGTCCATCTGGTCTGGTCGACCACTCTGGGTGGCTTCCAATAAGGTGTATTCCAATAAGCTGTGATACGTAAAGAGCAACTCGTTAGATGTTCTTATCAATCTGGCTTGTAAAAATCTGCTTTATAGTACAGATTTTAGTAGACATGGTCCTGTATCAAGGAGTTAGAAAGCAGGAGGAGAATAAAGCTGTGATACGTAAAGAGCAACTTGTTAGATGTTCTTATCCATCTTCCTTGTAAAAATCTGCTTTGTAGTAGGATCCGCATATCCACGGGGGATCGGTTTCAAGGCCCCCCCCCCACGGATGCTTAAAAATGTGGATTCTAGGTAACGCTATTTTAATAGTGAATAGTGTACAAAGCATGGACACTGGCTCCCTCTAGAGGAGATCTAAAGCTAGAGATCTAAAAAGCCTCTATATTAAAATCCTATATATTCAGGATATATTATCCTCAAAATATTAAAAGAAAAATCCTCTCTCTATACAGAGAGAGGATTTTTCTTTTAATGTTTTCAGACTGCGGATAAGTCGTACAAAGCATGGACACTGGCTCCCTCTAGGGGAGATTTAAAGCTATAGATCTAAAAGCTAGAGATCTAAAAATCCTGTATATTAAAATCCTATATATTCAGGATATATTATCCTCAAAATATTAAAAGAAAAATCCTCTCTCTATACATAGAAGATTTTTCTTTTAATGTTTTCAGACCGTGGATAAGTCAAATCAGCGGATACTGAACCCACGCATATGAGCTTCCCACTGTATTCTCTCGAGGGGACCAGTCTTTTTCCTCACGTGTCCTTCATTCCTCCTCCCCTCAGGGCTCTGTCAATTTTAAGTTTGGGATTCTCTACGCCAAAGATGGGCAGCTAACAGACGACGAGATGTTCAGCAATGGTGAGACTTAATGGCTTGATTGCGATTTCTCCGTTGCGATTGTGCAGTGGGAACGCTCTCGCTTTGTTGTTTGGAACCAGGGAGTTCTGGAAGAGGGCAGGGCAGCTATTCTGAGTGAAGTTGAAATTTAGACCAGCCTCCCAACCACCTTGTACTTTAGTGTACAGTGATCATCATCTCTATCCTTGCCTCCGCTTTGTGGGAGGGGAGGGGAACAGGTAGCATCTGGGTTTTTTGCCCTTAGAAAGGAAGGGCATTTCATCACATGATCAGTTGCTCTTTCTGGTGCCTATGTGACGGCTCTGGGAGACGATGGGAAGTCCACTCATCGGGCCTTAGAAGTTGCCGTTTCTGATCCCCCTCACTTATATCCGAAAAAATCTAGGATACCGTATCGCAAGTTACAGGCCATCAAGAGAGACTCTGCCCCAAGGCAAAATGAGACAGTGGCCTCAGACAGCAGATGTTGGGAGACGGCACAGAGCGCTATGGGGAGAATAAGTGTCACGTGGTCAGCTCTTTACCCCAATGTTCGCTGACACTTCTGGGTACTGATGACTTCATTACCAGTCCAGGCAGCTTTTTTTTGGGTCCCCAGATGTTCTTGGTTTACAACTCCCAGAAATCCTGGCCGGCACAGCTAGCGGTGAAGGCTTCTGCGAATTTTAGTCCAAGAACATCTGGAGAGTCAACGTTGGAAGCCACCGGTGTAGAGAATGGGAAAAGAGACAGCCGATCAGACCTCACCAAGGGCAGCCCAATGTTCTGGCCTCTTAACTATCAAAAGTTCGAGCAAAGCTTCTCTCTCTCTCTTTCTCAATTGCATGACTTTATAAAACGCTGCATAAACATGGATGGCGCCACGATTCACGATGACGGTAAAGCCGCATCTGCCAAATGGACTTTTCCACCTTTTTTTTTGTTTTGGTTACATTTCCTTTTTATAAACAGGCTTCCTTGCACATTGACTTGTTTTAATAGCAACACTGTCCCAAATAGCTGATTTTTTAAAAAAGAAAAAGCTGGCAGGTTTCTTGAGAATTCTGTTCTTTCTCAACATTTTTTTAAAAAAATCCCTCCAACAGCTGTTGGTACAGATCAGTTCCGTGTATTTTTGTTTTCTTTCTCCGTCTCCAAACGATGACTAGAAATGTTTCAGCGTCAGGCGCTGGGGAACAGTTCTGTGTTTGGATGACTGCAAGCAGAGCCAACCTGACATATTTGCATTCTGAGCAGGCAAAGCGAAAGAAAAATATCAGAGGAAGCTTCACCTTGACCTCCCCCCTGGTCATCCTAAGCTTATCTTATTCTCAAGGGGAAGTCTTTTGAGCACAGCAGTCTTCAGCCAAGACAGAAGCAGCCTGCTGAAACAAAGAATCTTGGTTTTAAGTCTTCAGCTGCAGAGAGCCAAAGGTTGGGAGTTCGATTCCCCCACGGTGCCTTCTTGATGAGGCTGGACTTGATGACCCCTAGGGTCCCATCCAGCTCTGCCATTCTTACTGCATTGAACAGAAGGGTTGGGAATCTGGTCATCTGGTTGTTTGGGACTTCCGTTCGCTTAGCCCCAGGCTGTTCGTCACAGTTCAGAACATCTGGATGGTGAAAGGTTGGCCACCCACTTTAGCTTTTGGTGACTAAATGATCTTGCCTGTTAAGGAAACCAGTGGTCCTTGAACTTTCGTTCTCCTTCTGGTTCTCCCCCTCAGTTATTTCCATCTTCTTTTCCTTTTTTTCCTGCAGAAATGGGCAGTGAGAGCTTTCAGAAATTCTTGAGTCTCTTGGGAGACACCATTACATTGAAGGGCTGGACTGGCTACAGAGGAGGACTAGACACGAAAAGTAAGGTTTCATTGAAGGCGATAGCAGTTGTTCCCAGAGTCCTGCATACTAGGTGATCCAGAACCGATTTTGCATGGAAATATTCTGTGTTGTCGTCCTGGTTTGTGCCACTCGAGTGTCCTATTTACACTTCTGTTTCATCCTATGCATTATTTAGGTTTTGTTTTACTTCTGTTTCATCCTATGCATTATTTAGTTTGTTTGTTTTTTGCAAAGATGCTGTTTGTTTTCAGATTCAACAAGTTATCGGAATGGGTTCTGGGTGCGATTCAAAGCATTGTTTTGCTTTAGCTGTTTGTTTTCAGATTCAACAAGTTATCAGAATGGGTTACGAGTGCGATTCAAAGCATTGTTTTGCTTTACTTCTAATTTCCTAAATGGTTTGGGGCTGAGATAGGTCTGAAAGACTACTCCTGCCTACCGGGACCTAACCAGTTATCGAAATCTTGGAGGCCTTACCTCGGTGTCACCTACTTGAGCAAGGCAAATTGGGTGGCCATTGAGAGATGGGGCGTTTTTTTGTGGTGGCCCCTAGAGTGTAATGACCTTCAGCAGTTGCCTTTGCCTGCTGCCTTTTAGGCAACGTTTAAAGCTGGGTTTGATTTGACTTCCCTGTCAGAAGCATTTAATTGCCAGTGGTTTTTATCCATCGTGTATTTGCTTACTCTTTGGGCCGCTGGTTTTTGCTCGGTTCTCCATCATTGTGAGTTTTAATCATAGATCAGAAGGAGTTTTGGTGGGATAACAGTGGCCGTTGTAAGTTCTTTTCACTTCCTCCAAAATGCTTCGTTGTTGGGATCCTCCTCCTTCTGCTTATCGGGACCGTAGGGCTCTGTCCTGCCCTGATGACAATATTTGGCCATTAGTAAATGAGTCTCATCGAGGTTACTTCCCTCTTATCGCTTTCTTCTCCAGATGACACCACTGGCATCCATTCCATGTACACCGTCTACCAAGGGCATGAGATAATGTTTCATGTTTCGACCATGCTTCCATATTCGAAAGAGAATAAACAACAGGTATGTGGTTGGCTGTATTGATTTTTCTTCATAGACCGCAAGCCGCCTTCCAAGAAGGGGGGGGGGCAGAAGAAGGAGAAACCTTGCAGAAAACTGCTGGATAGCTCAGTGGTTTAGGCTGCAAAGCCTGAGGTTGGGAGTTTGATTCCCCACTGGGCCTCCTTGGCAGGGGCGGGATTGGATGATCCATTGGGTCTCTTCCAGCTCTGCAGTTCAAAGATGATGAGAATGATTCTAAGGTTTCCTTAGAAATGTCAACGTATAAGGTTGCATCTAAAGTAGAGTGTTGGTTACTGGACACTATATTCGATGGACGAACTAGAGTGGAATAGAAGAGGGCAAAGAGGATGATGGAGGGGTCTGGAAGGACAATCTTGAGGAAGGAGGGAAAGAGCTGATGATATTTAGAGAAAATGAGATTTGGGGAAGATATATAAGCCGGTCCAGATATAAATCTGCAGTTCAAAGATGATGAGAATGATTCTAAGGTTTCCTTAGAAATGTCAACGTATAAGGTTGCATCTAAAGTAGAGTGTTGGTTACTGGACACTATATTCGATGGACGAACTAGAGTGGAACAGAAGAGGGCGAAGAGGATGATGGAGGGGTCTGGAAGGACAATCTTGAGGAAGGATGGAAAGAGCTGGTGATATTTAGAGAAGATGAGATTTGGGGAAGATATATTAGCCGGTCCAGATATAAATGTTGTTTACCAGACACCAAGAGTCCTTGGTCCCAAAGATCCATCTATGCTACAGTTGTTAAATGTTCCAGTAGCCATCTTCTGATACCAAAGGACGGCCACGCAGGAGACGGGAAACACGTCTGCTCCATTGCCACAAAGGGTCAGAGTTAGGGCTCGTGGGTGGGAACAACAGGCATGCTGATTTCAAGCCCAAAAAATTGAGAGAGGCTTCCTAAGAGCTAGTAGCTTTGTGGACCTGGCAGGACCGTGTCTTCGTTGAAGCTAGGGGCAAGCAAAGCGTGACATTTCCACAGCCTCGATGTGGAAGGTGGGGTTGCCTCGGGCCTTTTTCCCCACAGCCTTTTCCTTTTCGGACAGGTGGAAAGAAAGCGACACATCGGGAATGATATCGTCACTATCGTGTTCCAGGAAGGCGAAGAGTCGTCTCCAGCCTTTAAACCATCCATGATCCGCTCTCACTTCACACGTATCCTTTCCTTATCTCCTTCCTTGTTTGGGTTTAAAGCATCCGAAGCAGTTTAACAGACCGCTTCCTTTAACCGGTGAAGTGGAATACATTAAACCAAAACATTACCATCGTTGTGTTGGAGATGCAGGAAAGGAAAAGAGATGTATTTGCGTATGGGGTGGGCTGCAAAATAAGGAAGAAGGGATGGTTCATGATTTTCAAGTTAATTAGGGAAATAACGCGCAGATGTACAAAAGTCCCTGATGATTGCCTGTTTGAATAGGGTTAGTAAATAATCAATGGAAGAGAGAAGAAAAGGATTTAATAATTATAATGGGTACTGTGGCGAGGTTTGCATTTGCAAGGAATGGGGCAAGTAATAACCCAATTAATACAAAGGAATGGTATAAAGAAATTTGGAATATAGCAATCGATGATAAATTAACCTGTGAAACTAAAATCAGAAGAGGTTGATCAAAATGTGATGATTTTAAAGAAACATGGAATTCATTTTTGATATATGTGTTTCAGAAAGAGAATGGACATACCCCAGGAGAAGAGTCAATGTGTTTTTGGAGAGAGATGGGGAGAGACAATATATAAAGAAAATGAAACTAGTCCCATATGCACAGGGTTGAAAAGCATGGTTTTGCTTATTTTGAAGTCGACTGATTGTTAGCGCCTTGTAAAATGTTGGGTTTTGTGTGTGTGTGTGTGTTTTTTTATTATTATTATTAAAAACCACCCATAGCTCAGTGGGTTGGACCACCTGAAGACAGAAGGAGGGACTGGCAAGCCCACCCTTTATAACCAGGAGAGTTCGAAGCAACTTAAGGGCACTGAATTGTCATTGTCTTCTATTGAATCAGGCAGCTTTTTCAACATTATTCATGGTGTGTGTTTTACAACACATAGTGGTGTGGTATTCACAGCCTTTGGTCTCTGTGCAGACATTATACTTTGTGCGATAAACCACAATTTTATTGTACTTCAGTGGGCGAATCGCAGCAAATTGTTGATGGGCATTATGTCTGCATTACCACCTAAAAATTTTCTGTATTTTAAAGTCTTAACAAGAAATGCCGCACTTTGCTGTATATTGCTCTTTTTTTCTTTTTTTAAAATTAAACTGAGGGGGAAAGGGTAGACCTTTCAAAAGGCAGGTGGGAGTAAACATCTTGAATTCCTTATCAGATGCTGTAGATATTTTTGCCTTAGTGAGATATAATAAGCAAACGGATAGTTACAGGTGGGTGTTAACAGCACATGAAACCGTTCATTCTGTTCACTTGATGTGGCAAGTTGTAACATCAACATATTGTGTGATAACTGAACATACATCCAGGTGGCAAAGGAGGAAATTCAGGACTCCAAAAGGACAAAAAAATGATTTATTTAAAAGTGTGTGTGGGGGGGGGAAGGATTAAGTTGAGTAATTCATCCCCAGGTGTAGAAATCTCAAGTTTATGGATTTTCCTACCATGTTCATCTGTGGGTTCCCTTGTTGGTTTTATTTTGATATGAGCCTATTACAGGGAAACAGGAAGTGTGATTCTGGAAATTTACAATGTGTATTTAACTGGCAGCCAGGAATTGAGAGTCTCCCACCAACCGTGAAATTAGGGAACTGAATTTCTGGATCAAACGTTGTGGTATACGCTTAGCCCACCACCTCTCCTTTGAGAATAGCGGTTCCCAACCTTGGGTCCCCAGATGTTCTTGGACTAAAACACCAGAAGCCTTTACCACCAGCTGTGCTGGCCAGGATTTATGGGAGTTGTAGTCCAAGAACATCTGGGAAACCAAGGGTTGAGAACTGGTTTTAGAAGTTCCAGCTTAACTACAAAAAGGTTTGTTCCTTAAGTATCTTATTGCTAATCCTCAAGGAGAGCAGAGCTTTTGACCCTCGTCAACATTGTAGTAAATCCCTTTGTGTCCATGAATCTCCTTCTGTTTGGAGTCTTATCAACAGTTGAGCATCGTGTATCATCATTTATTTTCACTGTATTGATCCAGCGGTGGGTGAGCCTGCGTCTGGCCGTGCCGGAAGGCCCTCTAGGCAGACCTGTGGGTGGGAAACCCTGGTCTTTTGAAAAGCACATTGAGCAGCATGGAGTGTTTTGGAAGAAAACCCAACTGTCTCCTAAAATAATCCGATTCCTCCCTTCCGCTAGGCTAAAAATCTTCTCAGAAGAAAGCGTGCCTCTCTTTGGACCGCCCCTTCCATCCCCGCCAGTATTTACGGACCACCATGAATTCAGGGACTTTCTGCTGGTGAAATGTGAGTTAGGGTCCCCATTTTCAGACCCAAGAGACCCTTGGCTTCAGTACAGGGGACCTTAACTTCGGAGTAAGCAAGCAGGCCATAAAATGGTACTAATAAGCCCAGGCTGAGTGTCCGTGACTCCTTCTTCCTTCTTTTCTCGTGTTTCAGTAATCAATGGGGAGAAGGCGACGCTGGAAACCCCCACCTTTGCTCAAAAGCGCCAGCGCACGCTGGACATGTTGATTCGCTCCTTATACCAGGACCTCATGCCCGACATGCACAAGGTAAGCCCGCCTGGCGATCGGGGAGCCCGGGACCCCCTGAAGCCATGCACGCCTGCCACGTCGTCTGATTTTGGAAGCTGAGCAGGATCAGGCCTGGTTCATCCTGGAGGGGAAAAAACCGCCAGGCACTGCCTGGAGAAGTCTGGACGTTGTCGTTCAGCAAGAGAGCGTCTTCATTCAAACTCAGTGTGGCTTTTTTGTTGTTGTCCCGGTCTTTGTTTAGAACATGCTCAACCGGAGATCCTTCAGCGACGTCTTACCCGAATCCCCCAAGTCGGCCCGGAAAAAAGAAGAGGCTCGCCAAGCTGAGTTTGTCCGCCGTGGCCAGGTGCGGTGGATACGTCCACGGATGCACGAAGTAGACTTTTCAGGAGGCCAACGTGGCTTTCCCAAAAAAGAGTTATCCCCTTTTTGAGGGGTTACAGGAGAGAAATAGGGAAATGGGAGAAAACAAGCTGGCAGAGGGGGGAAAAAAAGGAAAGGGGTGGGCTTGATAATTTTTTTGCTCTTGTATTCTCTTGATTTCAACTAGTCATCTATCAGAGGTAGAACCTTCTTGGTGGTGGCTCCGAGGTAATGAAATCAGCTCCCAGAGGAGTTCCGCCTGGCCCCTGCCCTGTATTCATTGAGGAGGCAATTAAAAGCACTGCTTTTTAGGGAGGCCTTTCCCATCGACTTTGGTCTTGCTGCACTTCAGTTTGAAAATTGGTTCAGCGCTGCCGGATTATTTAAGCTGTTAGACTAACCTTTGCTCTCGTCTGCCGTCTAGTGTGTTGTTCCGGGATTGGTGTTAACTCCCTGTAAACCGCCCAGAATAGTTTGCTTCGGCACAAATGGGGCAGTGTACACATTAAAAGCAATAAATAAGGAAAATCATCAATAACCTCTGACCCCCGTTCACCCATTTATCAGTGGAAGTCTTTCAGCTTCAGTTCGGTTTGCATCAGCCCTTTGTGAAATCCAGTGTCTTTTCATTTCACAGATCCTGCTCTTCTAAATTGCGCTCCATCCTTGGCCAGCCCCAAATCATTTGAGAAAAAGAGAGCGCCGTTGTATCAGGCGCACAGGAGAAACGAGGGCTGGGTGTACAGTGGAGTGGAATTCCACAGGGAGCGTTCTTAGCTCGTGTTCCATACAAGGGCTGTTAGCAAGGGATCAGATGTAAGGGAAATCAATTTGGAACAGAAGGAATTAGGAGACTTGGACAAGCTCACCAGAACCTCATTTGGGGAAGCAGAGAAAAACTGCAGTGTGTGGGGATCAAACAGAAAATCGGACGTTAGGCCCTTTGGAATGACTTATCCTTCCTCCCAGCCTTCAGAGGTGCTGGTTTAAAGCTTCTTGATTGTCACGAAGGGGGCGCCAAGGTCTTAGGGCTGCAGGCCCAAAATTTTTGTGAGCAACACGACTGAATTTTGTGTGACTGACTCATAGAGTGCTCTTAACAACGTGACTGTATCACACCCAGTTCATGAACAGCGGCTGTTTATTTTCTGAGATGGAAGAGGTTCATGGTTGCACGCCCTTTATTGGTTCTCTCTTAGCTTTGTGGGTCTGCATATCCAGTGGTGTAAAGCAGGCGAGATTTGCAACAGTAAAGCACCAGGAATTTTAATTGGCAGGGGGCAATGATGACACCTCCTGTCTGTTCTGCGTTCTTCTTTTTTTTTTTTAACTCCTTCTGAGCTTAGCTGCATCCCTCACAGAAATGGGCAGGAAATGGATTTTTCCCCCCTGGCAAAACCATATTGTAGTGAGCTTGTCCCTATCATGCAAAGTGTTCTAGGCTGGTTTGACTTTGAATGAGCAGTCAAGAGTCATTAGCTTTACAAAAGAACTGCTCCTGGGATTTAGAATTCAAGAACCGCTTTGTGGAAACGGTTTGGCACAGCTGCCTGCCGTGTTTTGGACTTTTCAAAGTGGCTTGCAAAGCTACGGGGAGTGTCCGTGGCTTTCCTATAGTGCAGGATTTACTGCTAGCCTCCTGTACATACCCAGGAGAATGTGAGAGAGACCTTTGTATCATTCAGACATAATCATTTGCACATGTAATGATGATTACTGGGAGCTGCAGTAACTTACGGAGGATATAGACTGGGCAGTAGCTTCACTTGGTCACTACCGCTCATAAGAGCACCCCTGTTAAGGAGCAGTCTATCACCAGATAGTAGAGGAAGCTTGCAAAGCACTGCACTGATGCGCAGCCTTTGCTGTACCCATAGCGGCTGAGATGGATGGGGAAGAATAGCCTAGGTAAGACAAGAGAGGATGAACCAGCAACTTAATTCTTTCTGTCTGTACCTGTGTGACCTGTTCTCTCTCATGTGCTTGTTGCTTTTAAAGGCCCTCAAACTCAAAACCATCGTCCGAGGTGATGCTCCGGCCATTCTAGCGACTACCAGCCTCTGTAAAAAGGAGGTGAGTCTGTTGCTGTCGCATGAAGCTGTGTAGCCAGGCGAGGAGAGGGGGTGAGTTCGCTTTCAGATTTTCCTTTCTTTTCGGCTGATGCTGTGGAATTTTATTTAGCGCAGCCGCCGCATGGCCTTATTTCAGTTGCCCCATTAAAAAACGTTGGGGGAACTCTTGTTTCCCCTCCTGCGTATCAAAGCAATCTCTAGATTTGCCGTGCAACTCTAGATCTTAGCCCCATCTTCCCTGAAAAGATCTCTCTTTCCTTATACAGTAGGGGCCCCTTACCCACAATGATCCGAATCTGCGGAGTCATTTATCCACGGTCTGAAAATATTAAAACAAAAATTCAAGAAATATATATTTCTAAAGCTGAAGTTACCAGAACTGGCCACCGGAGGGAGCCACAGACCATGCTATGTACTATAGTATAACATTCAGGCCGGAAATACATTTCCACAATGTCCTCTGCAGAACTGGCCACCAGGTGGAGCTAAAGATCATACTTGTGCATAGCATTCACTATTAAAATACTGTTCACTATCGTCCATGTTTTTCCATATCCGTGGTGGGACGGTTGGAACCAGTCCCTTGCAGATTCTCCTGTGTAGTCACTAGCCTACAGAGATCTCCTCTTTTTCAGCCCTGGGAGTCCCAGTGCTTCTGCAGCAATTTCCCCCACAAGGTCATCTGTGCAGATTCTTGGGGCCAGTCCTTGCTTGTTTCGACAGACGTTGGGGTCCTGCTCTTAGACGGTGAGTAAACGAATGTCCGTTTGTAATACTGCGGAATCGATCCTCTCACCCTCTTCATCTTCTACAGCCATCTGGACCAAAGATCCTGCACTTATTGTAACTTATTCTTCTCCCAAGACAGGCCTTCTTGATTTTTATGCATCACTTTGTACGTTTCTATGTCAGACCAGTGCTGTGCAGAGAGGAAAGTCCAATGGTGCAGGTTTTCTAGGTCTGCGCCGCATCAAAATGTGGATCGGAGCACAAATTCGAGTGCTTCCCGGGGGGGGGGTGTGTTTCTCTGCATGTAGAAATCTAGCATAGCAGGAACAAAATGAAGCCACTGAGATGCTAGCTTTTTATGACCCGTGAATGTTTGATACCAAGCATAGCCATTCTCCTGTCTACATTCTGAATGGTGCACACACACACCCAGGAGGGACTGTGCTTTTCACAGATGGCATAGTCAGTTTCTGGAATCTTTCCTAGCAAGTGAAGCATAAGCGGTGGGATCCCATAGGACATTTACTCTCAAAATCTCCTAAAAATAAGGAAATCCTCTGATGAAGCATAACTGGCTTTGTGAGGTTTCTAAAAAAAAAATGCCAGCTCAAACTGACATGCTGTCTTCTCAGTGGTTCTGCAGATGTTCCGGAGAACTGAGAAGAAATATCATCTGCTTAGGTGTCATGCTGACAGCAATTGGGTTTGGGTTGTTGTTTTTTCTCCCTTCCAGATGGACACCCTCCGATCCCAGTGTTTGATAAAACTTTACTCATCAAACAGATGCACATTCTGGAGACTCTGGACCTTCTGATCACACGAGCAGATAAAGGTACGGAGGGCCACGAAGTCTTGTGTGTGAGTCTGTAATGAAAAGGTAAAAGAAGTGTCTGGATTTCTGTACTTTATTGCTTTGAATGTCTTTTGGTGTTACTTTTTTTTTAAACCCCTTTTTTTAGCGTGGTGTATTTCAGCCTTTCCGTATTGTACTCTCACTGTTGTTAGCTGCTCTCCATCCTGTCTTTTAATGTTGTAAACCCCCTTGGGTCCTTTTTAAAGGAGAAAAGGCAGGGTAAACCAACCAACCAACAAACAGGAATCCTCCATAAGAGTGCCCCCTCCAGTAATATTTTTTGCAGGTTCCTTAAATGGTAGCAATAATATAGTTGTGCCCCGCTTAACGATTACCCTGCATTACGACGAATCCGCTTAATGACGATGTTTTTGGGATTGCAAAACAATGAATTTTAAATTCAATTGAAATGGCCATCATTGGTACTCCTGGGTGTCAATTGTGCGGGCTCCGGCCCTCGAGAAGGGGTTCCTCTCATGCTTGCCTCTCGCTTGGCAGGGAAGGACGCTCGCCTTCTCGTCTTCCGGCTCAGCGCCGTGCGGAAAGGCATCGAAGCCCAGCAGGTGAAGGGCAAATGCGACAGTCGAGACAACAAGCTGGAGAAGACGAAAGGTGCTGTGGGGGTCACCACTGGGAAGGGATGGCCGAGGGGGGGGGCTTGGTGTTTCTGGAGCTGCCCTGATCCAGTTCTAAGAGGAAGACGTGGTGTCCACCACCTTGTTGGTGCCCTGGGGTCCCTGGGGCCTGCGTTCAGCCGTCGCGGAAGAAAGGGAGAAGGAGGACAGACAGCCGCTGGACCATTCGACATGGCACTGCTTCCACAGTGAATTGACACGGGCTTTCCCTGTGACACAATTTTGCAAAATCAGCTTGATGGTGTTCAGTGGTGGCCATCAGGGGAGAACCATAGATCTCCCAGGATTGTGTAGGGGCGGCCGCGTTGAAAAATGGCCTCACTTTCTAATTGTGTAGCTGCCCTCTTTTTATCAGTCCAGGGCAGGCAGAAAGGGTTCCTTGTACTCCCACTTCCTCTTTCCTCGTCCCTACCGAGCCAGTGTTTTCTTCTGGGCGTATCTCCATGAGAGGTGCTTGACGCCTGCTAATTAATCTCTTCCCGCCCAGGCTGCCATTTGTATGCCATCAACACCCACCACGCGAGCGAGCTGCGAATCGTGGCGGCCATCCGGAACAAGCTCCTCCTCATCACCCGGAAGTTCTGGCAGTGGGAAGGGCTGAATGGCGGGGCCCCCTCGACGTCGCCTCATTCGGAATCTCCTGTGGAGGAATTCCAGTACATCAGGGTAGGTTTTTGAGGCAAAACGCTGGCACTGGACCACTGCTTCTTGGAAGGGGCTTGCAGAGGAGGCGGCCTCGTGCAGCATCCGACGATTGGTCTCTCTCAACCAGTATTGTCAAGTCTGATGAGCAGCAACGGTTCACCAGGGTTTGCGATAGGATCCTTCCCTAGCCCTATCATCTGGAGATCCTTCCCTAGCCCTATCTGCTATTTCTTTCTGGTCTCCCATCCAAGAACGAACCCAGCCTGATCTTGCTTAGCTTCCAAAAACCAATCAAGGTCTGTGTGTTTAAGAAGGTTTTTGGAGGGCGGTTTCTAAGGAGGAGAATCAGAATTTCTTGGAGGGGCTCAGAGAGGCCGTGGTGCGATTTAAGTCATCCTTTCTACGCTCTGCAAGGGGGGGGGCGGTGGAGGTTGGTCTTCTGCCTGCCATGCCATGGGATTTATCCCCGAGCCACAGTGCCTCTGTGTCCTTCTGCCGCCTCTGATCGATCTCATCCCGCCTTCTGGGCTGTAGGAGATCTGCCTGTCGGACCCTCCGGTCGTCATGACCCTGGTGGACGGCCCCACGGGAGAGAACGACAACCTGATCTGCGTCGCCTACCGGCACCAGTTCGATCTGATCAACGAGAGCACGGGTGAATCCTACCGGCTGCATAATGTCGAATCAAGCAGGGTAGGTGTTTGCCGCCAAGCCGTTGGCGAAAGCGGCTGTCCTTCTTGCAAACAGGCAGTCTCAAGGTTGCCTTAAAAGGGTTCGGTGAGGTCCACCCTGTGATTACTGGCAGCAGCAAGCAGAGGGTTTTGAGGGAATTCACCTGTTAGAAAGGCAGTCCGAAATCTCAGGACTTATCAACCCAAGTAAACGTCTCTTGGGGTCCTTTTGTGTGGACACGTGCGTTGAGATCAGTGGGAACAAGCTCAAAACATCATTTGAAACTCTTGTCCATTCTCTAGCACCTTTTGTGGGTAGCATCCCCCGGAGCAAGGAGCCGTGGGAAATGGAGTTCCAAAGGGACTCTGTTTTCTACCTGTGGATTCAGGTGCCCTGGGAAAACTTTTTCCCCAGACTCCCCAACGGCCTCTGCAGAGAAATGGGAAAGTGCCGGAAGTGCTGGCTGCGGAGGATTCGTGGGCCAAATTTTAGGAAATCATTGGGCCAGCGCGGAGACCCTTAGTAGGGCAAAGCCGTTGCTGTCGCAGCAGCAACAAAACAGCCGGGCCCTGGGGCCCCGTCAAGACTGCCAACTTTTATTTAGCAGAAGCTGTTCTGTGGATACTGTAGACATGGGAAAAGCCACCCCTGTTCGCCCGCGTGTTTGCAGAAACGGCTCTTGTCAGCAAGCCCCGTTCCACGTTCAGCTGTGGCCGTTGTGTGTGCAAATGAACAGTCGATGTAAAGCACGTACAAAACTAGTGGCCGGTCCCCAAAATAGGTGGCATGAATGGGGCCAAGTGGGAGAATGGCCAAGGCGGAGGGAACATGTTCCCCTGGCGCCCGGTGTGACGGACGTTGAATTGTTCTCAGAAGAGTGTGCAGACAGCTCAGCCTCCAGCCCGCCCACTACCCTTGCCCGTTATCATTGCAGGTTAATTTTGTTGCAGCTATTGATGTGTACGAAGACGGTGAGGCCGGCCTCCTCTTGTGCTATAACTGTGAGTATTACCGTCTCACGCGGCCTTTTGACGAGCCGGAGGGGTGCTTGTCTTGTGCTTCACCTTGAGGGTTGCTGTTGAATTGGATGAAGGCTTGCCTGGGATGGACGAGGCCGGGGAGGAAATGATCCACAATAGTAATCTTTGAACTGCACAGCTGGAAAGGACCCTGGGGAATAATCCAATCTGGAGCGGGGATGGGGGGAGAGGACGGAAAATCAAGGGTCCTTCCACTCTGCAGTCCTTTTCAGCCAGTGCTAGATCTGATTGTTTTAGTGAACCTCCACAAGGCAGATGATCGGACCCAACCCTCCCCTCCTTTTGGTGCCCCTTTTCAACCGGGGGCGGGGGAGAGGATTTGGACCCTGGAGGGGGAAAGGCCCTTAGGAAAGGCAGATGGAAAGGAATCGCTTTTTAAGGTGGGCTGATGGTTCCACTGGCCCTCTATGCCTCCATGCTCAGAAGCAAAGGGTCCGAAGCCTTTCCCGGGATCTGGAGGAGAAGAAGGTGCCACCTCTTTTTATTGCCAAAAAGGTCACGGGCGAAGCCGGTCGAATTGTCAGCCCCCTTGATGCCGTCTGTTCCTTTTTTTTCTCTGCCTGCCCTTCCATCTGGAATCCCAAGTCTGTGTTGCTTTTTCTCCGAAAAGGAAACCTCTTCTCTTACAGATGTTTGCTACTATCGCAAAGTGTGCCCTTTCAATGGAGGCTCCTTCCTGATCCAACCTTCAGCCTCTGACTTCCATTTCAGCTGGAACCAAGTTCCGTATGCGATCGGTAAGGGCACAAGCCGCCGGGCCTTCTCTCGGAGAGCGCTGGGGAGGGATAGAGATGGGTGAGCACAGCAGGGCAACGTGTTTTTTTTGGAGGGGGGGGGCCGGAACACCTCCCTGACTGCTTTCATCAAATATCCCCCCCTGACCCTTTTAAACTTATATCACTTATTTAAAAAAAACCAATTTTTCAGGTTTAATGCATGCGGCTCTTGGGGAAAACCCCTGGGTTTCCAGAGCTTACCTGCCCAAGAAGGAGGTTTAGGAAAAAAACTTGAGTTGCTTTCATCAAATATCCCCCCCTAACCCTTTTAAACTTATATCATTATATATAAAAATTTTTTTTCAGGTTTAATGCATGTGGCTCTTGGGGGAAAATCCCTCGGTTTCCAGAGCTTACCTGCCCAAGAAGGTGGTTTAGGAAAAAAACCTAGAGATTTCTAGTCGGTGCTGATGCTGCTGGGCTAGTGATCCAAAGATCTGTTTCAGCAGATGGCAGCATCTATATTCATGCCAGAGCTTCAGAGAGTTTCAGTCCAAGAAGCCCAAGCCCTAGGAGGAAAGAGCAAACAAACCGGGGATGTTTAGCCTTGAGAAAAGAAGACAGAGATAGGATCGCACTCTTCAAAGACTGGGAAGGCAGTCCTACAGAGGAGGGGCAGGATCTGTTCTTGACCACCGCAGAGTGCAGGACACCAAATAATGGGCTCAAGCGACAGGACGGTTTCCAGAGCTTACCTGCCCAAGAAGGTGGTTTAGGAAAAAAACCTAGAGATTTCTAGTCGGTGCTGATGCTGCTGGGCTAGTGATCCAAAGATCTGTTTCAGCAGATGGCAGCATCTATATTCATGCCAGAGCTTCAGTTTCAGTCCAAGAACCCCAAGCCCTAGGCTTTGCTTTGGGTTCTTGACCACCGCAGAGTGCAGGACACCAAATAATGGGCTCAAGCGACAGGAAATATCAAGAAAATTTTCCTAACTGTTAGAGCGGTACAACAGTGGAACCCACGTCCTAGGGAGGTGGTGGTGAGCGCTCCCACGCGGGAAGCATTCAAGGGAAAGTTGGGGCCACCGCCCTCTGTCCGATCTGCTTTGCTTTGGGTCCCTGCCTTGAGCGTTGCTTGTTCCACCCTCGGTTTGTGCTTTTCCAGTTTGCGCCTTCCCTTACATCTTGGCGTTCACCACCGATTCCATCGAGATCCGGCTAGTAGTGAACGGAAACCTCGTCCATACGGCCGTGGTCCCTGCTCTCCAGCTCGTGGCGTCGAGGGTAAGGGGGGGCGAGTGGCGGAGGAGGAGGGAAGAAATTCACAGCATGGCTGGTCACAGAGGAGTGCCGACACTTACTCCCCGTGTGCATCGGGGCTACACTGCTTTTAAGCCTGTAACCTCCGTATTGTGGCAATCCGTCATGCCTTAGCCCACTATGGCCAGTGAGAAAGCTCAATGAGAGTTTGTTTCATTATTCTTACATTTCTATCCCATTCCCCCCCACACACACACACATACACACAGCAAACTCGAGTCGGCGTTATTCTTACATTTCTATCCCATTCCCCCCCCACACACACACACACAGCAAACTCAGGTCGGTTTGTATGGCACTCCTTCCCATTCTTTTATTCTTACAACAGCAGGAGAGCTGGCCCAAGCTCATGAATTTTGTGGCCAAGGCAGGATTTGAATCCATACCTCTCAGGTACGATGGTGCCTCTGAGGGGCATCAGGAGAGCCATACCTCCCCCAGCTATTTTCAAAACACATGCAGGAATTGCCGGCTTTTTTCTTAAGTTCCTTTGTGAAATCTGTGGAGGAGAAAACCACCATCTGAGAAATCCAAGAACAGATTAAATAAATAAATCCAGGACTGGCTGCCTAGTTTGATCTTTTTAGATGGATTGTTTTTGCCTCACTGCTTTGATGCTTTCTTTAGTCTCGCTTGCGTCTCCTGTTTCTAAGTGGGATATTTTGTTGTTTCTTTTTAAATATTTCTATACTGAATGTTTTAAATATTACCTTTCAATTATGTCAACCACCGTTATCTATATTCCTTATTTTCAACTTGAAATATTGTCTTTTTATTGTGGTAAGCCACCTTGGGTCCTTTTCTAAGAAGAAAGGCAGAGTAAAAATATTATAAATAATAAATAAATAATATTAAATAGTTTTGGGGGGGTGAACTGCTGATAAGCGGAGATTACCAGCCTTACTAATTACTCAGGATTAGAATAAGGGGTTTCAAAGCTGTTCCTCTAAACCGGGCCTATGATTTGATGACTAAATTTATAATCTTATTCCTAATTTCCCTTGACAAGATTTTAAGAACCTGTTTTCGCTCCATAAGACACACCTTTCCATAAGACGCACCAATTTTTTTAGGAGAAGAAAACAGGAAAATATAATCTGATTTCTTCGCTCCATAAGACGTACAGACTTCCCACCACACCCTTATGGTGTGAAAAATACGGTAGTAACACTAGGAGCTGGCTGGAAGGTGCTTTCCAGAAGCCCGCAGGCCAGATCCACATGCTAGGGAGGCCAAAATGAGATACGATAGCTAGACGGAGCCAGCGTGACTCAGAGTCCCAGATGTGGGAGGTGAATTCCAGATGTTGGCTTGGGTGATCTCTGTGTTTGAGTCCTTAGCACCTCTGGCTTAGCTGCATGGATGTGTAGCCTTTTCTAGCTTCCAAAGTCCCCACATTAGGTTCAGAAATGTTAATATTGTATGCTTTTCCCGTCTGTCTGCAGTGGTGAGTGAGAAGTGGGATTTTATGGCTTTAGCCCTGAAAATTCCCTTTTTTGCTCATCCATCTTTTTCCTCCTTCCAGTCAGACATCTACTTCAAAGCGGCCACGCCAGTGAGCGAACCTTCGAACAGCAGCTCCAAGGAAACCACGTCACCCAGTTCCCCGCAGACGACGCCGGTTCACGAAATCCCTGTCTTCTCGCCTTCTGCCACCGAAGGTAAAGGGGATGGAGGGAAGGGGCTCTGAGGTGGGTGTTTGCTTTTGCAGCCAACAGAAGCGGGGGGGGGGGGGCCAGTGGTCTGCAAACTTTCTGCAAACTTTCCATTGCAAGAGTATAATTCTTATAAAGAAGGTCCATGCATTTCAGCCGGGGAATACAGATAGAAAATAGTCCATTAATAAATGCAGATGTGTATTGAAACCTGGTCACTCCTAAGTTCCACATTGTTTTGTGGTCTGTATAAAATAATGTCTTGCTTGTCCTTGGTTTGCTGTATTCCTTTTTTTACAGACTCCAATTTTATTTGCGGCTTCATTTATTTTCCTGTCTGTCCGTCTATCTATCTATCTCATTCATAAGCTGCTTTTCTCCCTCCCGATAAGGGGACTCAAAGCCGCTCGCGGTATTAAAAAGAGCAGAATCAAAAGCACAAATTGGTTGCACATTTAAAAAGCAAACTGTAAAACTGATTTAAATACAGTGAATAATTAAAACGATAAATGTGAAACATTCCATAAATGAATCATTACTGCATTGATCTTAAATCCTCCCAGGTTTGTTAACTTCCTTGCATTTTTCCCCCCTCCAACAGCCCTGTGCAAATATTTATCAGTCCTGGGCTTTTTTATAAGAATACACCTTCCCTTTTTGTTAAAAAACATCCTTGAGGATGGGGGGGGGGAGCCAGTGGTCTGCAAACTTTCCATTGCAAGGGTGTAATTCTTATAAAGAAGGTCCATGAATTTCAGCCGGGGAATACAGATAGAAGATAGTCCATTAATAAATGTAGATGTATATTGAAACCCGGTCACTCCTAAGTTCCACATTGTTTTGTGGTCTGTATAAAATAATGTCTTGCTTGTCCTTGGTTTGCTGTATTCCTTTTTTTAACAGACTCCAATTTTATTTGCGCCTTCATTTATTTTCCTGTCTGTCCGTCTGTCTATCTATCTCATTCATAAGCTGCTTTTCTCCCTCCCGATAAGGGGACTCAAAGCCGCTCGCGGCATTAAAAAGAGCAGAATCAAAAG